TGGTCCCTCAACTCAATTTACAACATTTCTTCAAGAGAAGACAGGCTTTAGGCGAGCTGATTTGCCCTGTTGGCACACACGCAGCTGGACATCTCATCGACTGGAAGACTTAATGATGTGTCTCTCTCTGCTGCCATCTGTGGATTTTAAGGACGCATATTTAATTGGATTTTCGATAACTGGTTCCTGCTTTTTGAATTCAGCTGGTTGCTGGTTTATCTACAATCAAGGAAGTCATCAGCAGCAAATTTGGACCTGATCATGCTGCTTGCCTTTTTGATGGCTTGGTTTGTGCCTCGAGTACCCAGACTCAAATGCTTTGGGCTGAATGGATCAGATCTTGGGGATTTTACTCAGTCACGTTCCATCGGTGTGGCCATGTTATTTTGGACATTTCAGAACCAAGTTGACCAACACAGACTCAAGGTAGATGTCATTAAGTTCTTCCTGTCCCCAAAACAACTGTGTGTTTATCTGAATTTGGCTCCCTTGGCTGGTCTTGAAGGCCATCTTATCTGAATTCTCCTGGAGAACATGTGATCTGACGCTCACCACCCCCTCCATGAGGAATTTCCAACTGATAACCAGATGAACCAGCTGAATAAACTTTGTGTCATCATTTCAGGACTCTTGGATTCTCATAGATGTTATTCTTGGCCATTCCTCGACATACCTCGAGAATGTTTATGGATCTCACCGGAGGACATTAACTGATTATTCCATCCTTATCAGAACTCTTACAGTGCCCTCAAGAGCATCTATGAACATGCTGACTGCTCTCGCTTTCCCCTCTGCAGAATGTCTACGTCACTATGTGCTTGTTTGTGCGAGGTGTTTTTTTAATATTAGAGGAGTTTTTTTCTCAGGCAAGAAAAAACAAGTCTGATAGGAATTTTTTTCGCCTCCAACTCCTCCATGTGTCCAGTTAACCGCTGTTTATGTCTGTCCAAGCAGGTCTCACTTGTAAATGAGTCTTTGAGGCTCAATGTGATTTATCTGTTTAAATAAAGGTTGAATGAATGAATGAATGAATGAAAATACACGTCCTGCTGTCCTCATGCACGTCCTGCTGTCATATGATTTTTTTTTCCAAAGACACAATGGAGTTCTTTCTGACCTTCTCCATCATCATCCTCAAATCAAAGATGGCGTCTGTGGTGCTCTTTCTTGGCATGAAACCATCACTGTCCACAAAGGGTGAGCTGCTCAGTGGGACTTATAAAGTTTAGTTAACAGTATTCTGGTTAGGTGGAGTTAAAAACACAAAAATTTGGTTGAATTTATCATTTACCGGAATAAAAACGACACACTGAAGCTCGACTTTGATTTATTTAATTGTTATAATGTCGAATTTGAATTCAAGGTCACTACAATGAGTACAAAATGATTATAAAGAACATAAAAACACGAACACAAGCACTGACATCTCTGGGGCCTCCACGGCTATTTAACACACTAAGGCACCTTGTGGCTTAAAGTTCACTGATGTATCGAGGTAAGAAGAAGAATCCATGGAGGAGCTGCTGATCCAAGATCAACATCAAGTAAAAGCAACAAACCTGGAAGTGTGCAGGAAAAAAAGCCCTTCATGAAAAACTTACAGAAAAACGGAACAACTCACTGTTTGGTTTCATAAATAAATCACAAGGCAACGCAGATATGCATTAAGTGGCTTTTGGTTCCAGCACAAGAAAACCCACATTAGTGGATTCTGCAGCCTCGTGCTCACTCGTCTCGTGTGCTCTGCACCATCGAGTACGTCTTGCAGGGGCTCTTCAGGCAGCTGGGAGGCCAAGTGATGGGCCACGAGTAGGAGCACTGCACCGACGTTTGGACGTTCCTCTCAAACAAGGTGAACACAGGGTTCCACCAAGTGTTGGTCAGGTAGTTGTTGGGCGAGCACTTCAGGGTCTGTCGAGATGAATTGTTGGAATCAAATGTCAAAACGACTTCTAACGACGGAGCTTTACTAACATCCACAATAAAATGAGCACAGTCTTTTAAAAATACAATAAAAATAAACGCTGATATTCTGTTGGACCTTCACTTAATTAAGACGATGAGCTCATCGTCACAAGCTTTCTGTTCGTGGCGCTGCATGAATATCTTGTAAACTTGTGTTTAGTCGTTTCTGCCAAATGTCACATCGTTTTTCATGACGTGTCTGGACTCGTGTAACTAAAGAGAAGCTAGAGTAGAACCTCATGAGCGCCACCTAGCGGCTGTCTACAGTACAAGGTTTAGGTCCCGCCCCATCATAAACATTTTCTGGCTATTAATAATAATAATAATCAGGATTATGTTTCCAGGTGTTTTGCTCTGCTCCATGTTTAAATAAGATGTTTTTTTCTTTCAGTCTCTTATTTGAGACTTCAAAGTGCCGTGTCGTTCTGTGATTGACAGCCTGTTTGTGAGGTGGATCATGTGTAGGGCGGGACTTTTAGCCTCACTTCCCTAGAGAGCAGACTGTGGTACCAAAAACCAAAAACACAACACCCCAAACAACCCTGACATGTGGCTTCAGCCTGGCCCAGTGACAGTGACCTCGTCCGTTTGTCTGGACTCTGATGCTCCTGCAACTTTTGGAGCAGGTGGTGTCTGGAGGAAGGCAGCAGCGTCTGGTCCTGTTCACCCCGAGCCACTCGCTCATTGTTGGAGCTCAGTCAGTCATGGAATAAACGTGTTGATGGCATCATGGGTTTGTGCCATCAAGGAGGAAAGAGATGTCCGATAAACGTCAGGTCATTACGCCTGATGAGAAGGAGCAACAGTTTGTCTGCAGCTCTCCTCCTCATGGCTTCAGTGTGTAACTGAAAGTTATTGACCTTTTATTGATCAGCACTTCTGTCTTTCTGCTCCTAGAATAAACTGAAGTCTTTGTTTTTTGCTGACGAGCAGTTTTTTAGCTGCAAAGTGAAAACTCGTTCATGGATACCAACCTGACTGTGGCTCCACCTCAAGCTCATCAGGTTTAAGAACAGGTTGCACTCTTTACTCTCACTTTTAGCATTTTAACACAAACGTTCTGTTTTTTTAGGTCGACCATGTTGAGACATTTCTGAAAGATAATGTCCATAATCAGCACTGAATGTGTCTTCTAACAGAAATGGCCAATCAATAATGGGTTAGAGCTGGATATGTCGGTGCAGACACACCATGAACTGCTCGTAAACGACGTGATGTTTTATTTAGTTTCTCTGCTCATCTACTCGTTCTTCAGTCTGAACCCGTCTGTTCACGTTGGACACACCGGAGGGGACAAACAGCAGTTTGATATAAAACCAGAGTTTAGGGTTTGAACGTGTTCCTGTGAGGAAGTTCTGTCTCTGTGGTCTCACCTGTAGGTTGGCCATGGTGTGGTACCACCAGAACAGGCGGGAGGTGATAAAATAAGCCACGACCACGTCCACGGTGTAGTGTTCGTGTGCCACCAGGATGCAGACCACGCCCACAGCGCTGAGCAGCCAGCACAGCAGGTGGTACCACCAGAACGAGCGGGGGGAGTCTGAGGGACACGATCACAAGCTGCTGGTAATCAGTTCAGTGAAGTACGACACAAGAGACAGGAAAACTTCTTATACGTCCTCTTTCAGTAAGATGTTTCCAGACAAATGTTCAGCATGAAGCATTTCCAACACTAATAATCAAACGAGTCTAATCTGAAACGTTTGAGCAGTCTGTGGAACAAACACGTGCACAAAGAGAAGAAAAGCACCGTGGATGAAATGTGTCCAGACGAGCACTCACACTCTTTGATGAACAGGTACGTGAGCGTGAGCATCACTGTGTGTCCACTGTACAGGAAGTCTCCACACAGCAGGTGGGAGTTGGTCATGGAGAGGCCCCCGCCTGAAATCAGCCGCAGGACTCGCTGCAGTTTGGCCTGGGTGTCTCCCTGAAGCTGCGAGACGACAGGAAGCAGCGTCATCAAATCACCTTTTGATCTTTCATGTCATCGATGTGTTGTCTGCACGTCTGTTTGATGTGAACTCATGAGGACGACAGGAGCAGCAAACATGGACAGCGTTTCACAGTCCAGTCCTCGGTGCTGCTGGTCCAGCTGGGTGGCTTCTGCTGGAGACTCAACAAGTCCCAGAGTCCAGGATTTCATTTGCTACTCACCTTAGGAGCACAGTTCATGTGCATGCCAGGCACAGGCAACGTGGTGACATACATGGTCACACAGCGGTACAGGTACAGGGTGCCGATGAGGAAGAAGAACCGTCTGATGACGATGGACCTGTGGACAGGAAGCAGTCGTGTTGGACAAGAGGCTGAGCTGTGGATCGCTCTTTGAGCAACCAGTCAGGAGAAATACATTAATTAGATTTTTATTTGATGGTCAAACTGATAGTTAGTCGTCTCCTAATATTCCCATTGATTAATCCCAACATGTTTTATAATCATAACTTTAACATTACACAAGAACCAACACAAAAAACTATTTTTTTCACTTCCCATATATTTGACAAGATTTGTGCACGTTCAGGAAGGTGCACCTGTCACCCACTGTCTGACGACGCTGCTGTTTCAACAAGAAGACTGACAGTTCACAAACGTTCTGAAATTTTCACAGAACTCCTCCTGAACGCTGCTGAATGCTACTGAAGTCGGCTGAACTCGGCTGAACACTACTGAATGCTGCTGAACGCTAATGAACGCTGCTGAACTCTGCTGAATGCTACTGAACACTACTGAACACTACTGAACACTGCTGAATGCTGCTGAAGTCGGCTGAACTCGGCTGAACACTACTGAACGCTGCTGAACACTAATGAACGCTGCTGAACTCTGCTGAATGCTACTGAACGCTGCTGAACGCTGCTGAACGCTGATGAACTCTGCTGAATGCTGCTGAATGCTGCTGAACTCTGCTAAACTCTGCTGAACTCTGCTGAACTCTGCTGAATTCTGCTGAATTCTGCTGAACGCTCTGAATGCTACTGAACGCTGCTGAACGCTGCTGAACTCTGCTGAACTCTGTTGAACTCTGCTGAATGCTACTGAACGCTGCTGAATGCTGCTGAACGCTGCTAAACTCTGCTAAACTCTGCTGAATGCTGCTGAACGCTGCTGAACTCTGCTAACGCTACTGAATGTGGCAGAATGCTGCTGAACGCTGCTGAACACTGCTGAACCTTACTGAATGTTGCTGAACCCTACTGAATGCTGCTGAACACTACTGAATGCTGCTGAACGCTGCTGAACTATGCTGAACCCTACTGAATGATGCTGAACGCTGCTGAACTTTGCTGAACCATACTGAACGCTGCTGAATGATGCTAAACTCTGCTGAACCCTACTGAATGCTGCTGAACCCTACTGAACGTTGCTGAATGATGCTAAACTCTGCTGAACCCTACTGGACGCTGCTGAATGATGCTAAACTGCTGAACGCTGCTGAACGCTGCTGAACGCTGCTGAACGCTGCTGA